CTAGAAGATATGCAAGTGAAAAGCAACAAGTCGGCAGAATTGGGCATCCAGAGAAGATACGCCTTCAGGTGAACATAGAGAAAACAGAGATGATGAAGATTCCTGGCCAACAGCAACAACAAACGACAATCAGCATAAATGGAGGAATCTGAAAGATGAAACCTCCTCTACATACCTACCTACCTACCTACCTGGGAAGCATCGTTTCAACTACAAGCAGACGGAACTGATGAGGATATCAGAGTAGCGAGGATCGGGAAATCATGGCAAGTCTTCATCTCTCTTAAGTCTACATCAACAACTATCGTCACTCAACACCACTCAAGATCAGATGGCCGGCCAGAAGAGATCAGTAATAGTGTGGAATCTCTGGGAGCGAAGCAATCAGAAACCGAATGTGCAACAAATCTGCAAGAAGAAATGGAGGTGTATTGTCTATACTTCGAGAAAACAAACCATCAATTGACATCATGCGCCAGGCCATCGCTCGAGTGGAACCTGAATGGGAAGTGGTTAGTTGGTCGTCAGTGCGTGTGTGATATGGAGGATGTCATGCTGAGAGGAGATGAAAGCATGTGGTTAGACGTGGAGCCAGGTGAAAACGTTGGCGGAGAGCTGAACGCAATGGAGACGTGTCTCTGAAGCCCTATGTCCCTCTAGGAATTGAAGGAAACAATAATAATAAAAATTTCGTATTTCTTGGATCATCTCAAATTCAATTATAATGTTTAACGAGAAATTAACCTAAAAGTAAGAAACACTTGACTCGATAAACAAACTGCAGCATCATTTTATCTTCACTGCTTATTGACTTCAAGTGCCTTGATTAAATTACCTGTCACCGCATTGGGGTTAGGAATTTCTGCCTAAGCCTGTCGTGCAGTTTATTGTTAAACTTGCTCACATGTAGAAAGACTTGATTCGTATTGATTGTAACACTGCACTTATTTCAAACATTACAATCGACTTCAGCACACAAATGAATTTGGTTACATGCAATTCGGAATTATTGAGCGGAGGAATCCTAAAGCTGAATCGAAATACGTTTCTTTTCCAAAGATTTACTGTAAAAATTATTCGCAATATTTTGTTTCATTTCATTCACTACTCCGAACAAGATACAGACGGAAATACACGTGAAGTTTGCGTGTACACCAACACCTTCTGCGTGTTGTTACTTCACTGCACGCGAAAGCGTTTTATTAAAATGACAGCCATTTACAACGAAGTAAATTAATTCAAAGCTAACAAGCGGCCTTTCGTCTCAGTTACATTTTGGCAGCTAAATTATGCTGTTCTACAGCATTTGTGGTTCTTCCTTCGTCTTAAAACAAGCAACAAAAGTTAATAAAGCATAATTTAGTGAATTCATAAAATTTCGGTTGGACTCTTCAGCTAGATACTCTACATACAGGGACATAACATTAAGATAAGAAGCATTATGTTTCAACCACATCAATTAAATTGACAATTCCTTATCAGTGAGTGAAAGCACTTGAATTTATCAAAAATTGCGAACTAAATGAAATTGATATTAGTGGTGATTCTGATAATAGTGACAACAATGATAATAGTGTTAAAACTAGTTAAAATAATGCTACTGATAAAACATAGTTTTAAATGAACCAGATATAGTAACAATAAGAGGTAGAATAAAATAAAATATAGAATAAAATGCTAATGTTAGCAATATTTAATAGGTAAAACATATTACCATGTTAAATTCAGAGTGACCACCGTTTCCTTTTGTACACGAAGATCTGGTTTATACAACCTAATTGCGAAAGCCTCCAAAATTGCATCTTCCTGTTTGTTCTTCTGCTGACAACAAAGAATGGCTCGATAGCGTCAATATGATGTCCGTAACCCACAGGATGCTTTGTCGTTCAACCGTTCAATACTTTGACTTAAGCTGTCTTAAACCACCTTATCGAATGCCTTATCATGCGAGTAGAGAACCGATTCCGGTATGACCTATGTTTTTGCTTCCACAAAAATACTCAAAATCATATAGACAGTTTGAAATGTTGAGAGTTGGCGACTGGTCCTTCTCATATTGTCGAAGCACCCGCTTGACGATGTTAAAGAACATGAGTTTTGCAGCCTAATAAGTTCTCTTGATAGCTTTATCAAGTCATCGTTTAACTACTTCTCGTACATCATATCCTTTGAACGGCTAATTGAATTCTACAGACTTTTTTGAAACTGTTGCGATAGTCTTAGTGGGACTCACTTATCAAGGCTGTTTATCGATGAACTTCTCAGAATATTTATTTTTAAACAGAATATCCTTCAGAGTCTTTGTTTCATGTCTAAATGTACTGTCAGAACAAATTTTTTTGTGAACTATTGAACAGTATTCTGACTAAGTTCTTCTTATACTGAATTTGGACAAAACTTCTAAAGTGTTTATGTTGTCCCGTCTGTGAAGACTTTCGAAATATAGATCTTTCCATTGTGCTATCAATAATTTTCATTAGAGAAACATATAGGAATTTAATGGTATCATTTTCTTCGTGTTCTGTTGTGAAGTGAAGATCAGGATTACATGATATGAATCTTATCAGTAGGTCTTCAACTGTTGATTTGCTGTCAGAGATAACAAAAATATCATCAATACATATTGGAAATAATTCCGCTTTTTGTATATGCTTTTGAAAAATACCGGCTTTAAAGCCTGACAATAAGAAATCTGCAAAAATTGGTCTTAAGGGGCTTGTTGTCCTTTTTAAGCTTGTGTAAAGGTTTCCAGTATTCTTTGGTGGTATGCGACTTTTGATTGGTCTGTGTGATTCGAAATTGATGGCCAACGTAAGCCATCTATGATTTCAACAAGCTTTTACTGTCACACGACGTAGCACAAAGCCCAATAAATTGTTCTTCATCTACTAGACTATTTGTATAAATGCATACATTACACAAGTGTTTTGTCATAAAGGATGCTAAAGCAATATATTACTCCTGATTTTGAATGAATGCGATAAAATTTCAAAGAAGAGTTGACAATATCCTTAAATACTTCTGCTTATGTCAATTTTGTAGAGATGAACAGAGTTTAGAAAGTAACGTTGTGTCCCATTTCTTCTTAAATGTACCCCAGTTGACTTTTGAAATGTATAGAGTGAAAATGCTCAGCTTTGGCAACATTGGATTCACGATACTATCATGATACTATCAGAATTCATTGTTACTGCGTCACAAATACATAGTAAATATGGTGATATGAATAACTGTTGCTCAGTAAATACAAATGAGCGATTTTCAAACTAACAGATGCAGTTGTCAGCATTACCGATTTCAGAATATTAAGTATTCTCATAGTAAAACTTATAACTATCCACGTAAGCCTGCATCATTGCTTTGAATTAAATCTCATCAATCTTTATTGTGATTTGCATAACTTTACAATAAGCTATTAAATACAAATCTACCATAGTATTTTGTCTACAAAGTGAGTGAACTGTACTAAGTAACTGTAACATCCATGTGTATTTGTCAGTTGAACTGCTCCTGTGGAAACAGCTACGTTGGGCGTATCAACCAGACATCTTATCTGAATTGTCATAGAATGTCTATCGTTGCCTAGTGAAGCAAACGTAAAAGCTATCCGGACCTCTATTTTGACTCATCTACTTGATAGTAGTCATTCAGTGGATAGAATGAAAGCACGCAAGGTGAATCATTGTATTACTGTGAACTCTTTCCCACGCTCTTGATGTTCATCCACCGTATACGATGAGTATTCAAACTGTTAACCTAAGCAGTGCATTCAGAAGTTTTTTCTTATCTCTCTATTGGTCAATGAAAACCTTACCTACTGCTCATATCATCAGTACCAACACCTGTTATATATTTTCAACCACTTTTTTTTACAATATTTGCCAATCCGTTCCTCCTCTTACCGCATCTTCGTTAAAACTCACCTCATCTACTTCACCCACAATATGATGCTGCGTAATCTCACCACTTGTCTTTATTTACTTTGCCTTTTATTTACTACCTGAGTATGGTCATCTGTTTTTATAACTCTGCCGTTTTTAACTGTTTTTATTGTCACGAACAGTTCCATTTTTAATTATTGTGATTAACAGAATTATTAATACTATTCTGATTAGCTGTGCAAATCATATCTTATCATCCATTTGAGAAGTAAGCATAAATAGTTTATATTTAATATACCTGATTACATTCGATAGGGTAAATAGGGCTGATTGCAAACTTATGTACAGCATTTATGTCAACTTTCAAAACGGTAAACGCAACAGCTATACCAACCTCACTAATCGATCGAATTATAGGTCTCCAAGATTTCAGCTTTAGGAATAGGATTTTCGTTAAATCAGCATTGTTTTGATAAGTTTTTATTCGAACTACAACAGATGTCAACACGCTTTCTGAGACACGCTAAAACCAATCGAAGAGAAATTAAAATCAAGTAACTAGTTAAAATATGTTTCGTTGGGAGGAGCAGTTAAATTATCAGTCAATAGATTCTAGATTTCACAATCTAAATAGACTACATCAGTCTGTGCTGTCATCTGCCCTAACACAATAATTAAGCCCAATAACCAGGAACACAAAATATGTGTCCAGAGTAGCTGAATTTTTAAATATTTCCAAGACGAATTGTGAATCATTGTAAAAATTACTTGAGTATAAAAATAAGTAAAACACCCATGCATAATATATTACGTCTGGAAACTACACTGACAATTTATTATCCAGCCTACAATGAGTTCACTATTCAGAGTTTACTTCCCCACTATAAAACAAATGACTTTTATAGATATATGACATACCCGAACTCATATTTGCCGTCTAGTTGTAATCATGTAGAAGTAATATTCTCAATATTTAGGAAGGTTAAGTTATTTACAGTGTTTTGTGTGCAAAATGAAAATAAAACACTCAAAAATTACCACTGAACACAAGACAATGTAGGTAAAAGCTTTTAATGAATTCTTTACAATTTTATTTCAATTATGACAAATTTCTTTACATCAATAACCTCCTGATGGTGTTGCTGGGGGCGGTCTAGATCTCAGTGCAAACGGCGCAAACACCCACAAAACCGTCAAGATAAAACCCCAACAGTAACCATAAATATTCCTGGCTGGAATAACAATATTGTCCTCTGAATAATAATGAGTACTCATGCCAAACACCAGCTTCATTTGTTTCACGAGTTGCTACAAACAAAGATGCGGTGAACAATAAAGCAATGACAATGAGGCTGAAGAGTACTCATGCTTGTCGATGATTTCTACCACTACTACAACTACAACACTTCTAGATGAAGTCATATAGATCATATTTTTCATATTACATCTGACATGCTATTAGAGTAAATCTAGTCAGCTTAAAACAAGTCAATTCATTTGGACAAAGTCACGAGAGAATAATGAAATTCAACTTACAAAACATGTGCATGGGAATCCAATACATCCAGCGATAAGTAAGGCAATCTAGTGAAGCGGGAAAATATCAGGATTACGACATTTCGTAATACAGAGTTGATGCTTGTTCAAAAATAGTGTCGATATTCTGAACATGAAAATAAATAGTCGTGGATCTCAAGCCACAGACATACGCATCATTGTCATTCTCTGAAGATGATGCCAAGCGCTGTTTAGACATCTATTCTCTAGTTAAAACACAGATTCCATACCATCTCTTATTTCAATCAACAGTGAGGATGAATCAGCTTCTGGGAATACTGTGAAAGTAACAAAAGTGGTGTGAGCGTACTCACACAATCAACATTCTTGTAACTACTTTTAAATTTGTCACCGTTCCCAAAAATGTAGTACAAATTGATTTCTTCATATTTACTACTCCGTATTCCTGTGTTGTTTTAATATTATTATTGTTACCTTTGGTTCCGAGTGCAACATAGAGCTACAACAATACATCTCCACTTTCTTTACTTCTTTGCTGTCTTCTTCAGCTGAGTCCACGATTGCCCATAATCTATCATCTCCTCCTCGGCACACGATCTCCTCCACAACACTCTCCCACCGACGACCCACTCGTCACTTCCCACTTGGGTCTAACTCGACGGCCTGGCTCCAGACAGAATCGGATGGTCTCCTGAATATGTGCCCTATCCATCTCCATTTTCTCCTATATTTCCTTTGAATGATAGGTTCTTGGTTGGTTTATCACCAGAGTTCTTTGTTGCTAATTCATTCTGGCAGGCCATTTGTTCTTTTTTAAGGAGCAAGCAAAAGCAGCTGATGATAAAAGTCTGTAACTGGCTGTTGAAAATACTTTTAGTGAAACTCTGCTCAAGTTTCTTACCCTTATAGAGGAACTGACTGACTTCACATTTGTGCTAAAAGTCCTAACCTTCTTCTTTCTGCTGAGTTCAGAAGATTTCCAAACTGAATGCAAGTTGATGAAGGCGTTCTTGCTATTCCGACTCTCGCTAGCTTTGACATTTTCATCCATTCCGCCAGATTGTGTTTAAAAAGATGCTGACTGCTTAGACGAGTTGTAGTGACTGTTGCTAGTTGTTGTTCCTGTCACTGTTGGTTGGTCATCATCACCTCCATATTCTCGATTTTAAACCGCAGTTCTGTCTTCGCTGCCTGCTCCTTCAGCCAGTTTGTTGGTTTTTGCCTGCAAATCTTCGAGTTTGTGTAACATTAGAAATAAATCATCTGCGAAATCCAGATCTCGTGGAGTCTTCTTATTGAATGTCCAGCGTATTCTTGCCTACTCACTCCCAGCGCAGAATCTGAAGCATAATCCAGTCCACCACAGTTAAAAGTATCATTGGTTGTAATAGGCAGCAGACTTGTCTTGCTCCTGTATTCACATCGAACACCTCGCTGAATTTTCCGTTGTGGATCACCTGATACGTGGTACTGTCATGTAGGCAGCTGTTGAATGAGGATGATAAAGACTTGGGCACTGTACGCCCTTGTGTTGAAGTAGTTTTCAAATTGATTCTTAATTTGGTCAACGCCGTCGAAGGCATTTTCGAAGTCGATGAATTTTAGGTAGAGGTTTGACTGCCATTATATGCTTTACTCGATGAAGTTGCATAGAGTTGCTATTTGATCACCACATGATTTGCCTTTCCTGAATCCAGCTTGTTACGCGGGACGGAGTTCTGCATACAGGGTGTCTTTTATTTTCTCTAAGATGACGCAACTTAGTACTCTACTTGACATGGAGAAGAGCATTATTCCACCCTAACAGTGACAGAGGCTTAAGTCACCCTTCTTTGGTAGTTTGACAAGGTAGAATTCCTTCCAATACGTAGACAGCTTTCCTTCCTTCCATACCTTTTGCAATATTGGTGTGGGCAGTCTCTGAATCCATTTACAGTGCTTTGAGGGAATTCTGACTGGCCCCGCGACCTCCCCTACTGGACTTCACTGGCTTGATCGCATTTAAAACTGCAGTTTTCGTTTCAGGTTTGGTGTCCACTTTGATAACCGGGTTCTCCTGAATATCTTTCATAGTTTTTGCCTACTCTGGCCTATTTCCAGATGGAGACTTACTTATCTGATACAATATGCTGAGGTCTCTTTTACCTGTAGCCTGCTTGTCCTGCTTCATTTGCCAGTGTATTACTGAATTCATAGAAAATACCCATCTAGACGTGAATTTAAAAAAAAAAACGAGGTTCACAGAAGAGTCGCTTTTCGGCGAATTCATTTACTTACCTGTACAATCGCATTTATTGTGTGGGTGTGTATACATTAGGATTGTAAAACAAAAATAAAAATTAGTTATGGTTATTGTTTGTGTCATCAAAATGTTTCCAAAATGTGATGAATAATCAAAATTGTAACTAGGGAGGCGGAGATTCGTAAGTATTAACGCGCTTGGTGGTGGGTAGAAAACTAGCGAGCTAGTAAACTAGGCGAGGTTGCATACTGCACTACTGGTTCAATTCCTGATGCCCAGTGACGTGGGAATAAAGGCAGTATCATTGGTACAACGCTTTCATTTAATTACTACGCACAGTGATGTGAAGACTGTAAGGTTCTTCAACCCCGCAATTCATATCTCAGCTGACAAACTCCAGTACTACAGAAATCACTCATGCGCCCTAAACGTCTCCTCTGATTGTGTCATAATCGGCCCAGAGGCTTTGAATCATCCAGTGATATGTTGCATTAAACACAGTCTCGCTGAAATCACAGTTCAAGAAGGAACATTACAACATACTCTCAAACTTCACTTACCGTAGTTTGCTGTCTCGCGAAGTAGGCGATTTGGCCACATAATATTGAAATGCCAAATATGATATTCACTATCCTGCTTAGTAAATTCTCCGTGAAATCGTTCACCACGAAGAGTACAAAGCAGACAATAACTTGCAATATTGTCCATAGAAACGCGAATGCGATGAATGGAACCTCGTCTTTGTATGATAAGCATTCACATCCAATTATGAATGATGATACGAATGTCTCCGACGAAAATGAAAGTAGGGGAGAACAGTTGGCGAAGAGAAATAACAACAAGAATCTCAAAATCGATACAAATATGACATGAAAAGGTGGAGTACATGCTGTGGTGTATAGCACTCCGTTCAAATGAAACAAGTAACGTATGAATATGAAATATGAAACACATGATCCCTTATATTTAAATGAGAAGGTGTCTGAGAGAAATGCGGGAGAGTGATGACTTGATTACACCACAAACCCTATAACTCATTGAATTTGCATGATGTGTCAGTTTATTAACGCTCATTGCAGCTCTCGCTAGTTCAATATTTGCAGTTTTAATTACAAATCCCGTCAGTGAAAGAAGTGAAGGGATTTCCTCTATATATTAACTGCTTTATTGGATGACTGTTTGATTAACTGTCTATGCAACCTGTTAGTGAAATTCCAATGGTTTCGTTCTAAATGTCATTCTGTTCAGTTGACTCTACATTACAGCTTTGCATAGTTTTAGATAGTTGACAGTTGGTAGCAGTGAAATCAAGAGCATACGTTTGGTCATATATAGGAAACATAGTTTGAGTGTGTATATGTGTGTGTAAGGCAGTGCGTCATGTTGAACACACTCACACAAAAACACACCAACAGTTCTAAGAATTTCTTTTATCACACTCCAACTTTCGTGGGGAATTCTTGCAAATATTAACCTGAAAGTCATAACCGAACAATATAAACCAATGAAAGGTGTGACTGTGTGTGTATGTGTGTTGAAATAATGTTGCAGTGGACTGAAAAATTATCACAAAATTTTTACTATTCCCTTTTGACTTCCACGTGGAATATATGGATTCAGAAGCACATTTCAATTTCATCCTGTTCTCTGCATTCTCATCCATCCTGCTGCACAATTGCCCATGACCTCTCACCTCATCTTCACACGATCTCCTCTATGTCATACTCGGAAGCTCCACTCGTGGTCTCCCTTTCTCCTTCAACTCGATGGCCTCGCACATTAAGCCATAGGAAAGTCACATCAGCGTATGTATTATCCAGTCATTCGCTCATCAGTAATGAGAGAAGACAGCTGCTAACTAAAGTATGAAGCCCGTTTGAAATGCGTCAAATGACGTGACAAATCTCTCAGCCATACAGCAGCATTGACGACTAAAGTATTGAAAATTCGAATATTTTTCCTTACGCACAGTTCAGAAGATTCCCACACTGACTTGGAGCTAATGAAGCTCAGCCATGCCTTTTGAAACCTGTCTGTGACGTCTTCATCCACAAGGGCTGTAGTTGAAATTATGGTGCCTAGATAAGTGAAGGTGGTGATCTCATCAAATTTCTCTCGTTGATGGTGATTGGTGCTTGTTGATTTTGCTGTTGTTGGTGGTGGTCGGGTATGATTATCACCTCTGCTCTCTTGAAGTCATGCCTCCACTGTCAGCCTCTTTGCCAACATGCTAGTTTTCATGGGTGATGGTAGTCAGCCTTGTCATACTCCTGCCTCCGCTACCACTTCAAACGGTTCACTGAGGTTTCCTTTGTGAATAACTTGACATGTGGTATTGTCGTATAGCTGTTGAATATGGGCACTGCACTCCATAGTGTTGAGGTAGTTTCCAGATCACTCAATGATCGACACTTCCGAAAGCCATTCCAAAGTAGACAGAGTTGAGGTGGGGAGTTGACTGGCTTTCTTCACTACGTTCGATGATGATGATGATGGTTATGTATAGTGTCGTAATTCTTCCAGTGGAAGAATGGCGTTTCCTGAATCCAGTTGGTTCTATTTGCAGTTCTGCATTTAAAGTATGTTTTAGTCTCTCCAGAATAACATGGTTTAGTATCTCATTTGGAATGGGTAGGTCATGATTTTACGCCAGTATTTTAAGAATCCTAACTCGTCCTACTTTCGTACTTTGACAAGGTAGCTGTTTCTTCAATTAGTAGATAGATTTCCTGGCTCACAGACTTCATGAAATAATAGTGTGATCATATGTGCCGAGGCATATAGTTTCGTTTTCAGTGTCCGTGGTAAGATTCCGTCTGATCCTTCTACCTTCCTGTCTTCCAGTGACTTTTGTCATTCAAGACATTCGTTTTAGAGGATTTGTCTTCCTCTGTTAGGGAAGATACATTTATTAAGCCTCTATTTCTATGCCCTCTAATGCTATTTTGGATATTTTCAAGAAACCGTAAATGTAGGTCGATTCTAGAGTCGTTTGAAATGGTCGGCACAGTGTTGTTCCGTTTCACCTTCTGTCTTAATCTCTTAGACAATACCAAATTGATCATCTTACATAATAACCTGAGTAAGTTTTAGGTTGAGTGGAAATTTTTCCTATTTAACCGCCAACAGAAAATCCATTACATTACTGGTGTTATCAATGAAAATATTGAGGAGATTTAGATGTTTCCATTTACTGATGTGACCATTGATACAATTGGTTGTTACGCTGACGAATTTCCCACCTAGTCGCCTACTGTTCTAAGCACTACTAGCAGCAACTGCCCGATACTATACCACCAAAATCATGACGTAGGAAGACAAGAAGTGAAAACGGACTGTTGACGTAGAGAGCTTTTACTATCTCAAATCAGCAGTGAAAATTGTTGAAAACGATTATGTATATACATGTACTTTAAATGTAAGATACTAATTGCATCGAGAAATCAAAATTCAAATTCCAATAGGATTTTAAGATCATAAGTGGAATGAGAAAAACAAAACCAGAAGTCTTTATGTAGCACTTTTTTAAAATAAGTTCCATATAACACTTACCATTAGAAACAAGTATAGAAAGTTCCACGGAAACATCCTCGGAACTGCTTTGATGAAGGCCCATACAATTTCGAGAATGAAGTAAATTAAACTGCAAAGGTATAATGGAAGACAGAGAACAATGGTGTGTTAAATATAACTGTGAACCGTGTCTAGAAATAACTGAACAGACAAAAGCCTTTGCAGTTCTAGTTTGATGCGCTAGCGTTTGCAGAGCTTCAAGTCCTTACATGCGGCTTCTAATTTCAAAACTACAAATAAATGTTCTCAACGGCTTAGTGTTGCTCACATTATTCTGCAGTGGTATGTCTTATTCAACCTTACGATAAAGAGTGCAACACAGTTCGCAGCTTAGACAAATACTAATAGCTGTGGTGTAAGCATTGTAATACTCCTGACGGATGTCTGAGGTGATGTTTCTCAATCGATGTTTCACTAACCAACCACCTGTTCCAGATAACAGTGATTTCCTTGATTCTTTCCAACACTGTTGAGTGTACTTTGGCCTGGTGTGCTCTACATTTCGATAAATCTGCATGCTGTAAGTATCTAACTGGCGTCAATCAACACCTATGCACTAGCTGCAAAATCTGATAATGAATACAGGATGTTCAACATGTCAAATTACTTTCTCAATTTTGGTTCTCGAGATTATCACTCAAAATGGCTTGTAGGTTTGAATACTACTCATATAATCGCTCAATAAGAATCTCAAACAGGCTTCTTTACATCCATCCAAATGTTGACAGTGCGGAGACAGTAATTTCCATCACGGTCTCAACATCATTTCTTCCTCCAAATAGTTACTCAGTTCTGAAGACTGCTTTTGATCTCTGGTGATTTCCCTTTTCTATGTTCAACTCACTCTTCTTAGTTTATCCTGAATTGATGAGACAATTTGACCTGTTGCTTAAACACGCAATGGAGTCGTGTGTCAGTCTACAGAAAAATCATTCTTTATCTTCAAATAAACTGAGTTAGACAGTCGTACATTCACTTCGGTACATACACTTATTATCATCGAATCAAAAACTTCGAAAAATATTGCAGAAGAGCTCAGAAACGTTATATAAATTCAGTGGATTGCAAACAGAAAGCCATTCAACGAAATGGAATGTGTTAATAATAAATATATAATCACCTGGACATCCAAAGAAATACAGTATTATGTTCAACCCAAAAGGAGACTAGGAATCTACGGAATAGATTCAGTGTAAAAGCATTTGTTGATTATTAGACATACTCTTGTGTGATCAGATATGTTAGTCCACTCGTGATTCCCAATTGAATAACAACAATAGAAAATACCTGTTGGCATAGAGAAATGATATCGAATCCTGAACTTTTACTATGAATAAGATTTTATTTTGATAAATTACACAGTGTTGTATGGTAATATTAATGGATGACGTTTCGAGCACAAATCATCGCTCATAATCATAAGCCTTAGTTTTACTGATAGTCTGGAGATTACGTGACATGAAATATATTTTATTCAAATAGTGATAATTAACTGGCATCACACACTCTCTTGATTCTACACCATTCAATAGAATATATGAAGAATATGGAAAGGCATCGGTGTCACAGCGGTTAGGATGCTCGCCGACCATGCACATGGTCTGGGGTCCGATCCCCGGCCGACGCACTCCTTTACCTCGCTAAGCCAGAAATAATGCTGGTAAAGAGGAAAGGTTGGACATGAGGCTAGCAACCCCATCCTGTAAAAATAAACACTGCTACAGAAACTTCAAGCCACTAGCTTGAAGCCCTATGTTCCAATGGGAACGTGAAGGAAAATAAAAGAATGTGAAATTCACGTCTCCAACATTATATTGTGTAGCCAGAGGCTCGTCGAAATAGGATCACATCTCAGCCAAGATAGATACCACTCCGCAAATATTTCATACTGTGCACTCAGATATCACTCGAAACCATATTCAGCACACGTTATACCTCATTTGTCTGATCGTTTACTCATCATTTATTGACAGTGTCGGGATACATATCATGAGAATTTCACTTAATATAACATTATCGACGTTATTGATAAGTGAGTAGCCTTCATAATAAGAACGGCCACTCACCAATGTCGTTAGAAGTTAGTCAAGGTGTATAGGAAAATATTTGTGGATGGAAATCATGGATGTTTTCATTGATGTGCAAAATATTCCTGAGAAAGACATGAAGCTAATCTTGCTTAGTTTACTAGCTCGCTAGTTTTCTATCCACTACCAAGCGCGGCAAAAAAGGGAAGGTTAGGCGAGGGGCTAGCGACCCTACACTGGAGAATCAATGCAATCCCTAGGGAAATTACACTGCACAAAAAATATCATAAATACAAAAAAATATAAAAAACAAACCTATTCTTCGCTGGAATTGGAGGAACGAAATTATAAGGGCTGGTGAAAGTCACCAGGAATTCAGTCAACCAAGGAGTTTTTTTTTGACGAAAGCATAAATAAGCATCGGGAAATGAAATGTTCATACAATGTACGAAGCTGCGAAGGCTATCCGTGAGGTGAATAAATGAGAAAATATGGTGCGGAAGTGCTCAGAATCCACGAGAGCAGGTAGGATGGATGTGAATTCACCAAGCTGTTGGTAAGAGTCAGTAATCTACTCTGGTCACCTAGATGACAACCACTAGCACATTGAGAGGGTGGCTATCATGATGTCACCAGCACCAGGCAAAGCCCTAAACAGTGGGATCCAATTTCGTCCAGGATCACGACGGCACGATCCAACTCATATAGAAAGAAGGAAGATCGCTACTAACCAATGCTGCGCACAACGCTACAAAAAACACGGAACATGAGAGGAGAAGGAGGATTCCTAAAGACAACTGAAAACACTAATGGACAAAATCACCAATGGAGACATCAAAATCCTCATGGGCAATAACAATACCAGCCGAACTGGGAGCAAACAATACAGGAAGAGAATTCACCGAGAGACTCTCAGTAAGACGAATGACATTGGAGAACTCTTCGCAGACGTCCATCTGCGACTTCAATGATTTGGTGATCGGAGGCAGTGTGTAAAGGCACAAGGATATGCACAAGTCAACATCCATTTCTCCTGAGGGACACACCAAATTCAGATAGATTTCATGAGAATGTTGCTCGAGGAAGTGAAGACGCAGCCTGCTGAACACAAAGTTGAGAATGAGAGCAGATTTAGGTCTCAGACCATTGTTCTAGTTCAAGGAACCTTCACGATCTAGCTGAAAGTTAAACTCTCAGGCATTGAAGGAAAATTCTATGAGGGACGCATTCACTGAAGGTATCAGAGAAAAGTTGAAGAGAATGCAGAAACCCGTAATAAAGAACATTGGAAATCTGTTGAGGTGATGTTAAAGGGAACATGTGTAGCCATTCTGTTGATAAACAATAGGCACAAAAGGTGACGGATCTCCACTGACACAGTAGTGGTGTTGGTGAAACAAACGACGAACCAATGCACAGATTGACAACAGAAAGATAAGCAGAGTTCAGTGTACGCTGCACTTAACAGAAGAGTGAATACGGGTGCTCCCAAAGACAAAAGACACATTGGCAACTGAAGCAGAAAATACTTCGGGTAAAATGGACCCCAGAACATTATATGAAATAATGAGATATCTATCAACACAGATCAAAAAAATACTTAATCTGTGACAGGTAGTCAAAGAAAATAATGGGCCAATCACATGGAAAGACACCTGAACCGAGAGTAATCCGCCTATCCTCCAGAAATACCGCAAGTAGAAAGTACAGAGCTACCAGTGGACATCAATCCTCCAACAAGGCAGAAATCTTCAATGCAATGAAGCTGCTGAATTCCAACGACAAAGGGACCAGAAGGAATTCATTCTGAAGCAATAAGAACGAATCCAGAGATCGAAGCAGACATGATCAAGCCAAAACTGGAAACCGCTTGCCAGGAAAGAAAATTACATACTGACTGCAAGAATGGCTACCTTACCAGACTACCAAAGAAGGTCCACTCAAGCCTCCACAATAACTGCCACCGTATCATCCTGCTCTCCACGCCAAGCAAAATAGAAAATCGCGGCCTATGAAAGATAGCCTGCATGCAGAACTGCAAATAAAACCAACTGGGTTCCGGGAAAGCCATTCTTCCACTGGAAGAATTACAACGCTACACATCATCATCATCATCATCATCGAACGTAGTGAAGAGAGCCAGTCAACTCCCCACCTCAACTCTGTCTACTTTAGAATGGCTTTCGGAAGTGTCGATCACGGAGTGATCTGGAAACTACCTCAACACTGTGGAGTGCAGTGCCCACATTCAACAGCTATACGACAATACCACATGTCCAGTTATTCACTAAGGAAACCTCAGTGAACCGTTTGAAGTGGTAGCCGAAGCAGGAGTATGACAAGGCTGACTACCATCACCCATGAAAACTAGCATGTTGGCAAAGAGGTTGACAGTGGAGGCATGACTACAAGTGAGCAGAGGTGATAATCATACCCGACCACCACCAACAACAGCAAAATCAACAAGCACCAATCACCATCAACGAGAGAAATTTGATGAGATCACCACCTTCACTTATCTAGGCACCATAATTTCAACTACAGCCCTTGTGGATGAAGACGTCACAGACAGGTTTCAAAAGGCATGGCTGAGCTTCATTAGCTCCAAGTCAGTGTGGGAATCTTCTGAACTGTGCGTAAGGAAAAATATTCGAATTTTCAATACTTTAGTCGTCAATGCTGCTGTATGGCTGAGAGATTTGTCACGTCATTTGACGCATTTCAAACGGGCTTCATACTTTCAACAGCTTCTTACTCTTATTTAATAGTTAATATCAAATCGCAGTTAGTACTAGCAACTAGAAACTCCGGTAAAAATCCCATCGCTCAAGAAGCATGTGTGATAAAATTGTGATGGATCGGACGCTCAGTGAGGAGACTTTTATGTGACGTCTTACAACAGCTTTAGAGAAGCACTTATCGGAAAGTGAGAGTTGGGCGTGTGTCCGAGGAGGACATGAAGATCTTATGAGGAGGATATTCGATCTAATGCTCATTTGTGTAGCCATCTTGAGATGACCACGGTGAATTATTTGAAGTCGAGATGTGCAGCTTAAGCCACATAATCCATTAGTAACCCTAGAGAATAACCATGACAAAAAGTTACGGGGCTGAAACAGAACTAAAACTATTGGAAAAGTGATCACTGTTAATCCGTGGATTTAATATAAGTAATGACAGTGTCAGCGAACTGAAATGGATCATTTTACATTTCACTATCTTAGTGTGAAGTGGAAACCCATGTATTAAAATTCAAAAATTCAAAATGACTACAACTTCTGTCATTATCACATTCAAAATATTTGTCGATATGCATGATTTTATTGTCACTTTCTTTGAATCTACTAGATATATACAACCTTACAAACTGTAATTAGGTGTAAAAATTGATGAGATTTCCAGAAGAGACTGGACAGTACATTTTCAAAAGACACATTCGTTCTATCGTTAAATCAATTACATCCACGACAGTTCTGACAGGGAATACAGTGTCCGCTTATAACTGTTTACTCACAAATACCTGTCTAACGTCCACACCATATCCAGTAGATTTTAGAATAGTTGAATGTGTTATATTGTGCATGCCAAAATACCTTGAATTGCATAGTTGTGATGGATCCATCACTTACCGGAATTAAAATAAGAAAACGATTTGCGTCAAGACAGTCAATAACTTGTAAATTAAGCATACGGCTTACATTCAGTGCGAATGTTATCCTCGATTTTGAGGCTTGAACACCAACCAGAGACAGCGGTTCTGAGTTCTGACAACAGTAGTAATAATGTGGTTCTGATATACTTATGCTGACGGAGTTATCGCTTCCACAAGTAGAACGCATGTGTTCCAGATGGAAGACTTAATCGACTATCGATAAAAACTCCTGGACTAAGAGAAATATATAGGTGTGTTTGATATTTAGATTATCAGTAGGAATGTGTCTCAATGTTCTTCGTAGAACTTAAATAGTCACAGTGTTGTGTTATCAATTCAATTGTTTCTCATTTGTGAAACACTACACTTCAGATGTGTTACGCCATTTGTAATTGGTTGGTGAAATAGACAGTGAAGAGGAATGAATACATTGATAGTACACTATAATAATGTCTTACATACCTAAATGTACCTTGCTCAATGTGAATCGAAGAACTGTCTGATCAATTCATGTTTTTAATGTGTTGCATATTTGTCAACCCCTCCCTGAATAATTTTGAAACAAAATACACATTCGACAATTGAACAATCCAGTTTTCTCACCGTTCATTGAGTGCATATATATTCATTCAATCTACTGAAATTTCAAGAGAGTGACTTTGCTATCTGAAGCAAACAGTGGATTTGGAGTCTTCATATTAAAGGGGAAATTAAAATTCTCGAGATACATTCACTGACCAAATTATATCTGAAATAGCTGAATAGATGGTGTGAGGAAACATGCTGAACTGTCTGAATTAGTGCTGCATTCAAACAATGACTTGCTCCGGTATGGTTATCTATGAAGTTTTCTACTACTGACAAGAATTACGAAAGGACAACTCAATAGAAAACTCAGATTGCATAGACGGTTTCATGAACTGCCGTAGCTGCTACGTCATCAGTTATATATTCAGTTATTTGATCTGTTAACATTTTACTGTCACTGCTATTCCCATAATTGAATTACATTATGTGTTTTGTTATCTGTATATTCGTTAGTTGCTCGTTATTGCTGAAACGTTTTCTCTGTAGCGACCGTTTTCTGTCACTAAATATTTGCCTTATAATTGCTAGCTTCAACTGCCACATCCAACATGCGTATCTTAACACCACACGTAGTGCCCATTTCTAGCACTTACAGAGTATACACCCTAATGTCAATCGGACAATATAGGAGTTTGACCTGACCTTTCATTTGATTTAAGTTGCACCTCAGGCATATGCAACGACTTTTTTGAAATTCCTTCTCTATTCTGACATAGTATGTACTTGATGTGATTGCTAATGATGGCGCGCTGGATGAAGTTTTACAAAGGCAAAGCATCCTCTACTGTACTCCCTGAAGCCGGAGTCCCCCAAGGCGCTGTACTCTCCCCACTTCTCTTTTCTTTCTTTCTACATGACTTACCATCTTCAAATGACATTATTTTGTCAAATATGCCGACGACCTGACTGTATCTTTGCCTGTCAAATGTCAAAGCGACTGCTCTAAACTTAATGGCTTTCTGTCAGAAATCAGCCAGTGGTCCAAAGAAAATGGTCTTACCCTAAACCCCTCCAAATGTCAAACAGTCAATTTCACCTTTAGGCATAAATCCAACCTAAACAAACTGGTTGGCTCTTACGAGGTATGCAACATAGACGGCACTGAAATAGAAACTAAATCGGAAATTAAATACCTAGGTGTCATTCTATCTGCTGATCTCTCCTGGTCGTCTCATATCTTAGCAATTTCTAAGAAAATATTCCGTCTTACCTTCTACATTAAGAAGTTAAAACATTCTGGTATAACCCAACCCTTACTCCTACAATTTGTTAATTCTCGCATCCTGCCTATTATTCTCTATTGTTCCCCCTTAGTTTTTCCCGGGCTACTGAAGAAAGACTACAACATATTACGCAGGATGTTAAAGGTTGTCAGCAGGGTAAGCAACGTGCCACTTAACCAGCTTGTTAATATTCTGGTTGACAGGCATATGGACTCATGTGAAAAATGGGCCAAGTCCATTTTATCTAACTCACACCACCCTCTTCACTCACAACTCTCCCCTTGCATCTCATCAGGTAAAACCAGAAGCCAATATAGAAAACTATATGCTCGCACTAGCAAGTACAAAAACTCAACCATACCCTACTTAGCTCGTGTTCTGTGTGATAAAGAAAGCATTAGGCGTGACACCTATAATTCATTAAATAGTCAAAAGTACAACTGGATCTCGTCTTTCCAACCCACATCATCAATAGGTACAACATTTTCTTTCTTTCTTTTCTTTTTCTCTCTCTTCTCTTTCCGTTATGTGCTGCTTTGTCTCTTTCTCTCGCTTACGCCAGTTAATAAGACAGCTCCCACTTTTCTAACACTTTCAAACACTATTTCAGCTTTACCTTTGCTACTGACATGCCAATGTATTGTTGTAATGATGAACTGTGATTTCCTCAATCCATGTAGAATTCTATTTATTGATAATGTACTAACTGGATGCAATATTGTAGTAAAAATGCTGAGAATTCCATTCTGTATCACAAGTACTGTTTTGGAATAAAGCAAATTATTATTATTATTAAAAAAAACCGATAATTGGAAACCTGGATGGCGCACTCACCTCGAGATGCCTACATCCCTCCAAGATTTCATGTTATATAAACTTAGAAAGGAAATGGTTCAAAACCCTACAGAAAATACAATTCCCTTGAGGTTGCACATACTTCTTGCTAGCGTGTGCTTGAACACATCAGCAATAAGTCTGAGGCTTACTTCCGACTGCCCCTAATTATCTGGAAACAAGTAACAGTGAGCCAAATAACTCTGAACATATCGCGAAACTGAATAACAATCTAGTGATTTCGTTTTCCCTTTATTTCTCTGATCTAAAAGATTTGTTCTGTTTATCGTGAGCTAAGTGTAAGCGAGTTCAGCTAATAAACGTCCATAAGTAGATAAATGACTAAATCAACAGACCAGAGATAATCGGTTGGTCGTTGTATCGGTGCAGCTGCATAATTTGAATGATAAATAGGTTTTGTTGAATCAGCATTTGAATGCGAATCCCGGAATTGGTTTCGATTACTCTAATCTAGACCAAATTAGAAACACACAATGTTGATAACTGAATGTATGCTGCTTCAAAATTGATAGGATTCTACTAATGCATTAAATAGTGTTACCACAAAATGCTAGCAAAAATTAAATCATATTTATCAGTTTAATAGAAAAATCACACCGTCTAAAAACACAATTCACCGGATGACATTGTTCAAATGTCAGCAGTCATAAGTGAGGCATACCTGGACACATTTAAACGGTTTACTCAAAATTGCAATAGGGTTGCGACAAAATTGTAGCAATCATTACATCGCCAAGAAACAAGGCAGTACAATCGTAAGTAAACTTCTCGATATTAAATCTAATTGGTCGTCAAGACAATGAAAGAAAGAAACGAGTTGTGCAATTTCAAAATTCCGAATAGGTAATCTAAAGAAGAAGGATTTGACCCTGCAGCTCTTCTCAATAATTTCTACTTATACTCTGCAATTATAAGTCCATAAATATTATTGTACAATGGCCAGTAAAGCCAAAATTATATTTTCATCAGAATTATTGAATAGGGTGGATGGAAACAAATGTGATTGAATTACGAAGATGCTGAGAGTGTACACCGAGTTGAGTGTGAGGACGAGTATTCGTTGGCCATAGTGGCTGACTGCAAATCGTAAATTGGCAGGTAGTATTTAAAAGAAGAGTTCTGTCACCTTTGTCGAGTATGATTCCCTTTCAGATACGTTTATCTCATACAGTAATCAATAATACAGCATTGATGAATATTGGATTCCTTTATTCTACAGACTGTTTGGAATGTAGTTATACTCAAAGATCTCCTCAACATGTGGCCCAATATATCCTCATTTACTTGGCATATCTGTTCAGAGATAGTTTCTTGGTTGGTTCTCTGCCTGACATAGTTTCTTCTTCCTTACTTACCTTTTCCAGCCAGTTCTCTGATCTTCACTGTCGAGGCAGCTAGCATTCCTCAGTAATCTGTCAGAAATGCTCTCAACAAATGAAATGTCAATTCTCTAAATCAGATCGATGAAGAATCCAGTGATTTCAAATTGGTGCTAGAACTTCAGCTGTTCTTTCTTGTACTAAGTGATGTAATGTGGATCCACACATTGGCTTTGCTTTTCGAATGATGCCACCCAGTTAGGTTATGGCAACTGGTGTCTCTTATTCTTGACGGCGTATTTTTATCAACTCTGTCTTCTGTATTATTTTCTGTTCTTTGAAGTTTCTTTGAGGATAGGGTTCGTTGTCCAGGAGTGCTATTGTCACCCACCCGCCAAACGTCCTTCTTCAAGCTGAAGATCGTCTAGCAAACTAAGCGCTGTCAGTTCAGGCATTTTAAAATTTAACATAAATTGACTAATTATTTATGATTACAATAACGGTGATTAGTCAGAATCAACTCAATCAACAGATTTGTTAGTAGGTTCCTTCAACACTGGAAAACCGGAAAGTACTCGACAAACACATCTTCCTAGTCAGGGACAATTCTTCGGTGCTCACGCATCCGCTAAGAATATTTCCGCCAGTCCTTAAACTTGCTATTGATGACACCAACACGAGTAAAATTGCTCATGTAAGCGCTCCACTAAACAAGTCATTTCACACTTTGAGCAAGTCATTCAAATCGACATATAGCAATTCACACAGCTCATAACTCGCGTGAAATTTAAGTTATTAAAAAAAGAAACACTGAGTAGCCATCAAATGAACCATTAGCGTGAACTCTGTTTATACCAGAAAACTATTTTGGAAAATCCCTTCTGGATGATTCAATCACAATATTCATACTCATTTGGAGGTTTCAAATAACTTTATAATATTATCCGTTTTTCTCTCTGTCCTGATATTTGCACATCACCTGTTGATTTGATCCTTATTAATTGTCTTTATCCCTGTGCAATCTCTAATTTTGATGCTTCTCTTTGTGTTTACGTGCCTATTGATAAAGTGTTATATGCTATGATTTTGTTTGAGTGAGTCAAAGTCATTCTGACCTTTGACTGTTTGTGGGGAGTGTGACTCATGTGGACATGGATTTTGATCACATCTTGTTGCGAATATTTGACTTGATTCTAAGTACT